GTGGAGTGATAGATGGAGGACTACTTTTAAGAGAGAGGAAGACAGAGGGTTTTGATTAAACGAATGACATGATCAGATTTAGTTTTAACAGAATTACTTTGCCCACTATGTTGAGATTAGGTGGAATGAGGAGGGAAAGTATGAAATGATTAACACCAATGCCTTTCATTCATGTAGGAATCATAAGGCATTTATAATAACATTTGGTATTTATATGGTCTTAATAACAGCCATGAGGAGACACTTCTGCACATTCTCATGGGAGTTTTCAGCAGCTGTCATCACACAAGTGTCACAGAGTAGCTGTTTAGACTGGTACCTCTCACAAAGGCTATGGTTGTCTGCCTGGAAGACTTAATAGAAGAAAAGACAGTTAGGTAAGGCCTTGAACCATAGGTAGGATTTGGAGAGATGGAAAACAGAAGTGTAGGTATTCCAGCCATTGAGTGCTGCATGAGCAAAACAAAGGCATGGAGCTGGAAATGCAGATGTTGGATGGGAGACTGGGAGGGTGGGCAGTAGGTACTCCATAAGAGGGATTTCACAAGGGTACTACTGGAAAAGTGGGCCAGCACTTGAGTGAGTGAGGAAGGAGGAATACCCAGCTTGGGAGATACTGTGAGAGTTACTACTGACCCACAGATAATAGGGGTTTGCTTACTCAATACAGTTAAGGCCTCTTTGGGATGACCAAAGACAAAGAGGCCTTACTATATGTAGGACTCCTTGATTTTCTGGGTGAACGGGTATGCAGCCATGAAGATGAGGAAAAGCAGCAACTGGCAAAATCTGGTTCTTCTTTTTGGCAGTATTCACTCCTGGTGTGCCTTGACATTTTGACTTTCATCCCTATTGGGTGTCTATTGTGTCCCAATGAGTGTTTTGAAATGATCTATTGTCCTGTTACATAATTTAAGTATAGAATTTAAATTATATAATTAACATGTAATTTTAGATAGCTTATTGTTACATAAATTATATAATTAAATTCTCACTTCAATCCTGTAAGAGTGGTATTCTGATCACCATTTCACAGATGGGCTCATTTCACAGAGCTGATGCTCTGAGAGTTTAAGTAACTTGTTCCACATCACAGAGCTTTGTAACATTTATTCATTTTTGAGAGACAGAGCATGAGCAGCGAAGGGGCAGAGAGAGAGGGAGACACAGAATCTGAAGCAGGCTCCAGGCTCTGAGCTGTCAGCACAGAGCCTGATGCAGGGCTTGAATTTACAACCTGCGAGATCATGACCTGAGCCGAAGTCAGATGCTTAACCGACTGAGCCACCCAGGCGCCCCATCACAGAGCTTTGTAAATGTCATAGTCAACAATTATGTGGTTTTTATTCAATCCTGTGTCACCTCTGTGCTTCTCTCTGTTCAGATTGGAAAGCTCTGGAAGGTGATATATATACAGAGGCAACACAGCTCTGCTTTACTTGGCTGGTGAGAAAGATGAAAAAGGGCTCCCAGGAGCTGCTATGTGGGGAGTTGACATGGGTGTAGGAAGAATATACCCAGAGGTCCAGTTTCAATTATTTGGCAGGAATTACTATATGTTAGGAAATGTCAGTAAAAATCAAACTGCCTTGGCTCATAGGCTTGGGTATAAATTGACCTATTTTACATGTGGAATACAGAAGGCAGCATCTAGTCTGGGAGGCAGAGCTACATGGCTAAACACATGAGCAGATATGTCAGCCACAAAGGGAGATGGACATAGTCTGGACCTTAGGACTCTTGCTCTCTGGCCATGGAGTTGCTATATGGAAGGCATTTTTAGCATATATTTGTAGAGTGGATATCTAATTGTCTCAGGCTAGTAAATATGTCTGGAGCTGTAAGTCTAGAAGAGATAGATTGTGTTTGTGTGGCTTTGGAAGATCAGAAGTGGCCGGAGCAGAGGTGGCACTGTTCAGCTCTTTTCCAGCCAGTCTTGCAGTATTCTAACTAGACCCTGTCTGTAGTGCATTGGAGCCTTGTCTTTTTCCTCTGTTTATCTCCTGGCTCTGTCACAGCATGTTGAGTGAATTAATGGTAGTGCTGTGATCTGAATATTAGGCAAGTGGAAGATTGCTTGAGATTTAAAAAAGTGAATCTTTAGGATGGTCAAATATATAAATAACAAATCCAGAGTATCAGAGGTTGTCATATTTAATGTGAATATTTATGGAGCCAATAGATTGAGAAGTTTTTTGTGTGAAGTATTAGAAGATACTAATTCCAAACCATTTGGTAGTGATGTATCAAGATTCATATAGATTCACATCTGGCCTGTTTCCCTTTCTTTTTTCACCATCCTCTTCTTCCCCTCCTCCCAGCTTCCCCGCATTCCCAAAGTGCATCTCCCCTCTGAGTCTAGGAGTAGCAGAGCTGACGGGGAAAGAGCAAGTAGGGAATATATATTTTCTGATTGTTTACCATGTGCCAAGATTAGGGCCTGGTTCTTTATGCAGGTTATCTCACTTTATCTGCAAATAAGCCTAGAGAGATAGTATTACTCTTATTAATACAGAAATAGAATCTCAGATAAATTAATAAATTTGCCAAGAGGCACAAAGCTGGCAGTATATTCAAGATTTGAACCAAGACCTAACTCCACAAAGTCTATGTCTTTTCATTACACTAACTATGCTAGGGATATAGGGTCCAGGCCTCATCCTTACGGTGATTCCATAGTATTCCAGGGTATTCTTTGTCTTCTTCAATCCTACACTGCTCCATTACTTCCATCCAGGTGAAATCAGCTTAATATAAAAATCAAATTGTGGGAGGGGGGATGGGCTAAATGACTAAGGGGCATTAAGGAATCTACTGAAATCATTGCTTCACTATATACTGACTAATTTGGATGTAAATTTTAAAAAAATAAAAAATGAAGTTAAATCAATGAATCAATCAATCAATAAACTTGTAGTATAAAAAGAAAAAAAAGGAAAAAAAGATTGTCTTGACAGGAAAAATAAAGAAAGCATTGTTATATTGAGGTTGTCCTGGGAGGGGGAACCCAGATGACAGGATGTTGTGAGTTCAGATGGGGCTGGAGGCCGAGGGAAATTGCCTGTCATGTAGATGTGCATGTGAACCTCAGAGAATTTTAGCTTCAGTCAGGAAGGCTATAGTAAGCCATCTCCATGGGTCCTAGCCCAGCTACCAAGGAAATCATCTACTTGATGCACTAGAAAACCTGAAACGTTTCTAGAAGAGTCTGAGAGATCAAACTCTTAAAAAAAAAAAAAAAAAAAAGGAAAGAGAAAAGAAATGGAAAAACTACTAGATGAAGGAAAAGATGAAGCTCTACGAAACTGGCACAAAGATTGGGTTCGTGAGGGTTTGGAGTTTCTTTGGGCCATCACAGATACTCAGTTAAGCAGTTATTTACTATATTGCTACAAAGTGTCAGGCCTGTGCAAGGGACTTTGTAGAGCTCAGAGTAAGGCTTTGGAAATATATAGGCTTATGGGAACAAAATAAGGACTGGTATCTCTTCTATCAAGTGGAGCAGGGGCCATAAGGGAGGAAGCTGTTTCAGTGGAGAAAATCAGAGGGATACGGGTTTTATTCTGGTCCATTATTAGGATGCTTTGTGACCCTCAGCAAGTTATCTTATGACTCTGGAACTCAGTTTCTTCATCTGTAAAATGAACATCTTGCCAGGGATATTGTACTTTGTAGGAATATTGCCATGGCAGATGTATGTTAAATGCTTGACATGGAATAGACTTTAGTAAATGGTCACAATTTGATGATTAAGTGCTGTGACTGCCTGATCTTCCTTTCTTACTTGTAGGGAGCTAGCTAGGCATTTCTCACCCTGCTGCAACTGGTATGGTGCTGGAACCCCAGAGCCCAGAGGAGAATAGAACTAATTTCAAATTAGTGGCAAGTTCATGAGTCAAGGGGTCAGGCAAAAGATGGGGGGCCCAACCCAGGACAGGCATGTCTGAAATCAGAGTCTAGGCCAGGCTGCCAGCTGGAGACCCAAGAGTCACAGGTGTCAGGCTTAGCAGAAGAACACATCAGAACAGTCTCTTGACATGCTCCTGAGCTCCTCTGGCTTACTTCCACTTAGTGACTGGGGCAGGAAGCTGTGTATCCCATGTGGGTTTGAAGTCCCTGCAGAGAATAGAAAAATATAATCAGTGTCCCTCATGTGCGAACCCTCGGTGGTCGGTGTGGTGGACAAGTGAGGGGTATGAGAAACCAACTCATGTCATGGGCTCAGATGATAGGTTCTCCACTGTGAACTTGATTCTAGTCAGAAAGCAGGTCTGTGAATCCCCCAGGATCTGCATGTTTACTTAATAATTGGGATGTTTTTCATTCTTAGTAAAAATTACATTTCTTTGTTTTGAATAATTATTTTTGAAAATCCAGGAAATAGAAATACAAAAGAAATCACCTCTGAGCTCACTCACCATCTTTCTAGACTTTTTTCTGATGCATATCGATGTACATATTCATGTTTATGTAAATAAAATGGGATTAGACAATATTTAATGTTTTGTGAGATTATTTTTTCATTTAAGATGTCTTTGCCTGTTTTCATATGATTTTATGAGATACATAATATTCTATTGTGTGGATTTATATAATCCCCCCTTGGGACATTTACCCTTTATCTAATTTTTTGCTGTTATGAATTTTGTGGTAAACACTTTCCTGATAAGTCTCTGAAGATGTACACAATTCTTCCATGGAGTAGGTTGCTAGGTCAAAAGGATAAGCAGAATTCTAAGGTTTATGATTTCAACAAATTGCATTCCAGAAAGGTGGTGTAAAATTGGCACTCTTGTTGGCAGGTGTGTGCAAGCATTCATTTCCCCAGTGGATAATGCCATGATGAGGGAGCATCTCTTACTTGGTAGATGAAGATTCCATATTATCTGTTGTAATTTTACGTGCTGTTGATATATGAAGGTAGCTTCCACCCCCGTACCGGTCTCCCTTCCATGTGTCATTCCTTCATTCCTCCCTGATGGTGGTTTTCTTTTTTGCAGCATTGCTGGGAGCCTGGTGTATTCCTACATCACTTTCTCTGAGGAACAGCTGAGCAAGCAGTCAGAGGCCAGTAACAAGCTGGACATTAAGGGGAAAGGAGCAGTATGACCCAGAGGATCGCTTCCACTACTTAGGCCCAAGCTTTTGATCAACTGAGAACACTGGCATTTCTTACACAGACACTCAGGTGTCTTGATTACAGAGAAAATACCATTCCTTTGCACTTGTACAATCTGAGGATTGATTGCTGCCTTTTAAAATTTTATGAGAGAAGCTTATAATTGACTCTATTTTAAATATGCCATTGGAATTAATTTATATCAAACTGGAAAATGTACCGGGCTTTTTAATTTATTTCTTTTATTTTGACAATGAACCATCAGTGTTTTGAAAATATTTTATTCCATAGTTTGATATCCAGGTATCCCTTAGAGCTGCATCTATAAAGTGCTCCAACTGGAGCCTCCGCATTGAAATTGTTGCTGCATATTGAGGTAGCTCAGTCTTCCTTCTACTGGAAATGCAGCCAAGTATCTAAAGTTTCTCCTTTTGGAATTTTATTTCTTAAGGATTTTTCTTCATAAGGATATTATCCCTGCATTTGCTAAAGATGACAACTTTGGCACTAAAAAACTACATGTGCCTTGAGGTTGTATTGGTTTCCATGTTGGCTCCCCTGGGAATTCATGGAATGAGCAGAGTGCATTCCTTGAAATTATGCTATTCCCTTTTTGTTGTGTAAGATGGGGATGATGAAGGGATAGAGGAAGGAGGCCATCTGTATGATTCATTCGTTCAGCTCAAATGTACTGGGTATGCAATATGTACCTGGCATTATGCTAAGTGCTGGGGGTGCACAGATGTTTTTGGAGGTAGTTGAATGATCTCACTCTTGCTATCATGACTGAGGGTTAAGAGAGAAAACTTAACTTTATGATCCATCCAGAAGATGCTGCGACTTTGAACAAGTCACAGAAACTTTCTTCAGCTCTTAGAAACTGCAAATCCGTAAATGGGGTTAGAAGTACCTGCCCCTACCCACCCCACAATGGTTTGCTACCCATATGCTACAGTGTGAGATGACATGTATGTGAAGAGCGGCATATTGTTTATTTATTTTTAAAAAAATTTTATTATTTTTTTAAACTCTGTACCCAACGTGGGGCTTCAACTCGTGACCCCAAGATCACGAGTCATATATATGAAGAGCAGCTATATTTTGTTGCAAACCATGCAGCTCAGCCTTCCTTCTCTGAGTGAGAATGGCAGGCAGGCAAGGTGGACGCTGTCTTTTTCCTGTGCTTCCCTCCTCTGGGTTTGGTTGCTTCTCTGTTTACTCCTCTTTGAATTAATACAAGTAGGTCTTATATTTCTGAATGTATTGGTTTGAGGGGAAAGCCTTTTTAGAGGTTTCTGCATTGTCAAGGCTTAGTCTTTGTTCAGCGTGTTGCTGTTACAGCCATCACCATCCTTTCTCCTTAAATGGCGTGAGCATACCTGTGTCTTTGCATACTGTCACCTACATCCTGTGTCCCTTGGCTTACCTTATGAGCACGTCAGCTTCTCTTGAGACCTTTGCTGCATCCTGGGAGAGCAGCTGTGAATAGGCACTGCCTAAATTGCCTCTTTGGGCAAATCACTCACACAGCCCTGTGATTTGGTACAGAGGCATCCACCGACTTTGTGTATGAGTGTCTGCACAGGCCAGTTGTGCAGTCAGTGTGCAAGAGGCTGGGTGCTTTTGCACTGGTGCACACTAACTTCTCTTTCATTAGGTTTAGAATCCATAGGGCTCTACTGATCTAAACAGTTGGTATTTGGGTGGCTTAACAGGAGGCCTGGAAGGTTTTTGATTTCTTTTTATTTTTTAAAAAATTACATTGAGGTCATTTTCATATTCATGTGTTTCTTTTATTTGGGTTTGTTTTTACTAAAGCCTCATCAGTGGTATTGGGTCCCTAGAATTAACCCCACGGCCAACTTCCAGGCCAAAAGCTCCCAGGGCTCACTTTTTTCCAGGATCATCTGATCTGAGAAAATTCCACTGGGAGCATAGGATATTATCTTGTGTAAGATGATTTTTATTGTCTTTGTTTTATCAATGAGAAGACTCAGAGAGGGTAAGTGACTTGTTAATAAGTAAAAATTCATGTTTCTTCCATTGAGCCATGCTGCCATTTTCCTCTGAGGAAGTGAGGAAATGGAGATGGCTGGCTGAGTCAGCCAAGGAGGCAAGTGTTTGTTTGAATTTGGAGCCTAAGAGGAATAGGCTTTGCAAATTAGGGGCAGTGATGTGTCACTCTACATACCAGAGGTTGTGTCTACCTTCCAGGCTGGGCTCGGTTGATAGATGTGGCCTGCCACTGCCTGGTTTTGGCTGGGCACAGTGGAAAGGCCTTGTGAGAGCTAATTTTATTCGTTCTCTTTCTTCTTCTGTCAAGTCACATGTAGGGAACTTTGATATTAGAAATCATTTGTGTTGTAGAATTTCCCGTCATGAAAGGCCTTTGGCTGTGTCTGTAGCTGTTGTGCTAGAATTCCAGCAAGGGTTGAACTGTTTCTTGGGGGTCAGGTTCCTTGAAGATCTGTCATCACTCCAGGTTTGAGAATATCATGTGTAATTACAGCCTCACTACCTGCACATGACCTTAGGGCCCTCCACCTGTGCCGAACCTTCTGGCCAGACACAGTACAGCAAGTCGCAGCTTCTGCCCTGTCAGTGTTCTGATTCCCTCTTTGACTACCACCAACATGTCAAGATAAGAGAAAGCAGCCTGGGGAAGTTGGAGACTGAATAGACTGGCCAGCCATTTTGGAGTTTTTCAGTTATGTGCAGACTTGGGTATAGTGCACTAGAGATTTACCGGGTATTCTCACATCACCCAGAGTGTCTGGATTTTGCCCCAAGGTTGATATCTTACAAGGCAAAAATTCTATGACCTATTAACTACCTCCTGGGAGAAAGAGAGGCAGCTTTAGAGTTAAATCCTTGATTTTCCCTTTGAGACAGATGAGCTGTGATGAGTTTTGAAAACCCAATTCTGTATGACTAGGGGCTCCTCTTCTTGAGGTAATGACAGCAGGGTCCTTTGTGGCCCATCTGCTTTTAGTCGGTGTCAGATTGATTGTGGTCTGGTTGACCAGACTGCATGTGGCCAACGTGTCAGGTGACTTTCAATTGCTTCATCTGGCTCTTGACTTTATAAGTCATTTGTAGGATCCAGTGTGGACATAGGCTTAAAATACCATGCATCTGCAAGTTTTCTGTAGTTCTGTTGTATCAAGAATCCATGGAAAGTTCAGGTCAGTAAAGCTGATACAGATTCTTCACCGAAAGAATAGTAGAGTTTCATATTTGACTGGTTTGGAATAGTGCCTAGGATTTTGGGCCTGCTTTTGTTATTATGGTTTCATCAGTGAGCAGAGATTGTTTGAGCATCTGTCTTATGCCAGGGCATTATGCCAAGCTCTGGGGAAACCACCCTGAACAGGACATAGTTCTTGCTCTCAAGGAATGTATAATTCTTTAGCCAGACCCATAGTGAAAGGAGATGAAAGCAGTCAGTGATTTGTAAGTTAAGAGCTGCCTGCAGTTACCACCACGGATTAGGGTGTCCCACCCACCCATGAGCTGAAGCATTTTTTTTAATCTAAAAGGACTTTACAATTCAAACTACTAGCTCTGCGATAAGTGCCAGGCCATTAGAATTCGTGAATGGCCTGGGTTCCTCCTCCCTCTGCTTCGCATATTGTTTCTTGCCCCATAACTGTGTACTATAGGAGGTACCCCTTATCCGCGGTTTCCGTTTCTTCAGTTTCAGTCATCTGTGGCCAAGGAAGGTCTGGAAGCATGGGATCATCCTCCTGACAAATCTTCAGAAGGTCAGTAGTAGCCGAATGCTAGTCACGATGCCACGTCATTCCCCTCCACCTCCTCAGTAGGCATCGGATCACCTCACACTGTCACCAGGGCGAGCGCGGTACCATAAGATACTTTGAGAGAGGCCACTTTCACATAACTTTTATTACAGTATATTACCATTTTTCCATTTTATTATTAGTTGTTAATCTCCTACTGTGCCTAATTTATAAATCAAACTTTATCATAGGTATGTATGTGTAGGAAAAAACATGTAGGGTTCGGTACTATCTGTGGTTTCAGGCATCCAGTAGGGGTCTTGGAACGTATCCCCTGTGAATAAGGGGGTACCTCTGTATTGGTTCCTCCTTATGAACAAGGCTATAATTGATTTTTCCCTCTTCGAGGGAAAAATGGTAATATTCACAGTAAGTGAGACAATGGATGCGAAACCACTGAGCACAATGCCCTAGTACGTGTTAGGCACTCAGCAAGTGTTATTACTGTCACTATTTCATGGTGAGGCTGGAAGCAAACTAGATTCTTAATCTGTGCTCCTTAAATGCTGGAGGCCTGGGCAATGTGTGTATTTCTTGAAAAATGTGACCCTTTATTTCATTGCCTCTAGAGCGCTTAAATAACAGTAGTCTTCCTTTTTTAAATACTTACTGGATATAATTGTGGCCATTATGTGATGCCACATGTGATGTGATTCCACCTGTTTTTAAAAAGGAACAAAATTACTTCTATTTTGATGGTGAATTTCAAAACAGAAAAAAATATTTTTATCTTCACCTCAGAATGGTGATTCAGTTAAAACTTTCCCAATTGCTCCTCTGCAGGCCAGACTTGCCTTCTTCCTTGCTCCACTCTGCCTGTGCATCCACGTTTATCTCAGTTGTTGGTGCTTATAGATCTTTGGCATCATCACCTGTCTTCTAGCTCTTACCTTTAAAGGGGTGCCACTTCGTGACGGGATGAAAAGATATTCAATGGTGGGTTTTTTTAAGCTTTCTTTTTTGAGTTACCTTAAAAAAAAGAAATCTACTGGTTAGATTTATTGTCTCACAAAAATGTTTTTAGAGATTATTTTGTTCATAAGTGTTTCTTTCTCATGCTGATGATCAACTGATTTTTTGTCTATAAATGTTGGCCTATCATAGTATTTTTTTCAGTACAGATCCTATTTACCAAATGACCATTTTAGTGGTTTTAAAAGGTACTAAGGATTGAGATGTGTAAATCAGGT